GCAAAATGCTAACTTGCTGTCTGAAACTTAACAACTATTGTCCCAAACTGAAGTACTTTTTTTTTTTTAGATTGTGAAACATTTAATTAAGGCACAAGTAAACATGAATGTGGATTACTATTGATGTTTAACACCCTAGTGTAGATGCACAGAGAAGTAGATACAGTAAGTAGTGTAGCTCCTGGGCAAAGCAGATGGTTGTTGGATGTATATACAACTTAGACCTAACTCTAATAAAAGCTGTGATCAGAGTACAACACGTTCCCTGACACTGACGTTTCAGCCCTCCTTACCAAACCGTCCGCTCCCATTCTGCCTCTTCCAGATACCCTGAAGGTCACCTCGGCCTCCCAGTGTTCGAAGCTGACTTTGTTTTTCGTCCACACGGAGCCCCTCTGACTCCTGAGGGACGGCGTGATTCGCACCTGGTCTGCGCTGGGAATAGCATCTGGGATGGAGAGGAGAGACGGAGATAGGGAGCAGGATTTTAGTAGCAGCATGCAAATATGATGTTAACAATAAGGAAAGCATGCACATAAAGGTAGCTTCAGTTTCTGTGGCTCCTTCTTCCTCTAAGATGTGAAAAGAGCTAATGCATTAACAGCAGTTTAGATTCTTTTATTCTGATTAGTTGGAACAATCTAGGTTTACTCAGTGTTTCATTCATTGTTAATGTCACTACACTGAGTCATCAGAAAAACCCTGCGCTGTTCTCAAACTGGCTAATTGAACTGTGGTCTGCCTGGATCAATGTAATCCATAAGTCAATAGTCTAATTTGTTCAAGCAGAAACCCCAAAACATCACAGAGCTCCAGCTTCTAAAATGTGAAGATTTGCTGCTTTTTATTGTCTTCTGTTACCGTAAACTGAATAACATAGTTAATAATAGTTTACGTTAAACATCCTGGTGGCCTAGAGGTTCCAGACGCCGACAATGTAATCACAGCGTCCCTGGTTTGAGTCTAGCCGCAGACTTTTTATACTTTGACATACATACCCACTTCTTCCTGTCACCTCTAAACTGTCCTCTTTCTAAGCAAAAAAAAGTCTCCATAAAGATACTTTATGATGTCTCCTTTGACTTTTTTGACTTATCAAAATAATCTTGAGCTCCAGCTGCAGATCCGTGCTGAATGCAGCATAATCTCTTATTGAACTTATCATGTCAGCAACAAACAACTCAGTGAGTGATGCAAGAATCCAAAGGCCCATTTCTGCAAGAGGAAAGTCCAACCAGTCTGCACAGACTCTCACAGCAGCCTTTAACGTACTGGGGGCCTTTTTTAAGGGACACGTTCCTGAATATGACTGAGCCTCTAACACAAAGCTAGGCTGCTGAAACATTATGCATTACCCCAGTGCAGTTCTGAATGAACAAAGCAAACCCTGAGCGGAAACACCGTCCGTTACAAAACCTCCTCGCTGTCACCTCCACACACACACACCCACACACACACAGATATATAAAGTGTTGTGTTTAAAGAAAAGCAGCAGAACGACCCGCAGCTCTGTGATGTTGACAGCTGGATACAAACTTACTTCCACTGTGGATCCAAAACGGGATACCGCCGTCGGTCTGAGACAGGTGCGGTCCTTTGAAGCTGTATTTGTACTCGAACCGGCGGTGAGGAGGCTCTTCCGACGTCGAGGCGCCCGTGGAGACATCGGCGACACTGCGGTGAAATATTACCGTGGTGAGAAAAGTTAATAAAAACACACGAGCACTGGCAGCCGGGCGCTGTGCTATGGACACCGCCATGTTTCGGTATCACTGCTGACGTAGCGCTGAGTCCACGCGCATGACGGGATGCCTGTAGGGCCAACAGGGCGTTTTCTCATTGGTCGGTTTTTTTGGTCCTTTTTTTTCTCCTTTCTTCCTTTTTTTTTTTTTGGTACAGCTGAGGTTGACAAGAGGGGCCTGCTTGCACATGTCACTTGTCAAATAGGTAAAAGAAAGTGGGTAGGGTATGTCTTAAAACAACAGCAGCAGTTAATAACTGAGCTCAACCTGTGTCAACAAGGCCTGGGATTCCCCCCTCCTGAATAAATGCATTACATTAATGCACTAATGTTTGTGTTTTATCTTGCATATTGCAAATATGTCACACTGCTAACTAACTAAACTAATTAACACTGCATTTCTGTACAGCTCATTACTCATTTATTTAAGTATCCGGCTATTTTGTACACATTCTCTCTTTCTCTTTATATTTGTATATAGTGGCTCCTTTTTATTGCCCTTAATTTAATCTTTATTTATCTTTTACTGTGTTGAATTGTCTTGCACCAGCGTACCAAGGCA